GCCCGCCGGTCAGCCCGGCTTCTAAAAATCCCGAGCGTGTCTACGGCGTCGGAAACCCGAGCCGAAGCTGCTGCCGGCGCGACGAGGTTTTACTTACACTTCGCCTCCTTTCTCGCAAGTGCTTTGGGTATTCTTGCGGATCTTTTGTTTAACGAAGACATCTCTAGATCTGGGTTTTTTTTTTTCCTTTATATCTTTTTAACCGTTTTGCTGCTGTTCGCCCAGACGCTGAATTTTGTACTCCGTCTTCTTGGAGGTTTCTCTTGCGCTCTTTCTTGTAGCAGGTCTGGTTGGCTACTTCCATTTTTAATCCATAGTTTGCTTAACTTTGTTCAGAGTGGGTGTGTACACTAAATGATGGATTGTGCAAACGAAAGCATTTCCCTCAACTTCTCCAACTGTGAGCAAAATCTCAAAAAAACCCCCAAAACCTGGGAAAAAAGCTAGATAAATTGTTTTGTCTAAATCAAGGTTATTTCAAGAGTTGCCTTGCTCCTATTTTTGCTACAGCTTTTCTTTAGTGAAAACTGTTCTAGATGACATGATGAAAGTAGTTGTAAGGCAGACTAGCTTTGAACCTTCAAAACTACGCGGTTCATAGGAGTCTGAATAATTATGTTTCCTCAAAGCAGCTGACATGTTTTGCATATGTGGGCTTGGTTTTTGATTGATATTTACAGGGATCCAAATCTGTCCATTTTGCTTGCAGTGTCCATTCAGAAGCAATCCTGTTTTATGCTTATGGTGATCTCTACTTAAGTTTATTACTTTCTAGTCTCACAGTGATTTGTGCATTTCATGTACCAGCACGTTAGATTTGGCGCCTATGTTAATATATTCATACTGTTATTCTATTATTTTTGCAGCGTGTTCTTCTTCTTGTTGCTTCAGATGTTGATGCATTATGTGCTTGTAAAATACTCCAAGTAAGTCTTTGTTCATTATCACTGTAGGCTAATGGTAAAAGAAAAAAAAAATGTCTTGAGATCCTATTAATAGGTTTGAACTGGGGAAAGGGTGAAGGATTAATCTGCTTTTGTAGCTTATTTTTTTCATGAGTTATGACACTGAAAACTGGTAAGTCATACTCCCAGACTTGATGCAGACTTGTCATTTGGCATGTCTTCAAGATAAAGATTTGTATGAAATAGAATTATAGCATGGCACAGCCTTATAGAAGAGGTAGTTTCCCCTCAATTTTGCTAATAGCTGTTTGCTTCATTTCAGGCTTTGTTTCAATGTGATCATGTGCAATACACACTCGTCCCAGTATCTGGATGGCAAGAGCTTGAAACTGCCTTTCTTGAGCATAAAGACCAGGTGAAAAAACACTGGAAAATGTTTAAGTTGCAACTCTTCTTATATAGTCATGCACTTCTTCCCTTTCCCCAACTTAAAACGTCAACTCTTAAACTAATTATTATTATTGGTTACCTCAAAACAGTGGTGAAATTTTAACATACCAGTAACAAACTTGTCAAGTTTTTTACATCAGCTCAAACCAATGCACTATAATTTTGGTAGAGGCAAATTAAGTTTGCACACATGTTATGATATAAAAGGTGGTGGCATTGGATGTCCAACATCCCCAAATTCGGTGTTTTGTCTTACAAATTTTTTTCCTCCTCAGAGACATCAAATATCAGAAAGTAAATACAAGTTTTGGCAATGATGAGTGCTTTGGAGGTTTTGTAAAGGTGTTTTCAGTCTTCTGTGCTTCCTGCTAATTGAAGTAAAAAGCATTCTCTTTTTCTTTGCTTTTGTTTGCAGTTCAAATATTTTGTTCTTATTAATTGTGGTGCCAATGTTGACCTTCTGGAGATCTTGCAGCCTGAAGAAGACATTTTTTTCTTTGTATGTGACAGCCACAGACCTATCAACGTAGTGAATGTTTACAATGACACACAGGTAAATGCTTTTCTTTCATAATAAAGATCTTTGCACAGTGTGGTGGTGGGTGGTGTAGTGCTCTCTTGTGTTTTACTGAACTGTTTACAGTGTTAGCTAGTAGGTTAGGAAGCACTATTAATGGACATTTGCAGTAGTAATGTACATAATCAGAAAAAAATCTTTTCAGTAATAAAATATATACTGTTAGCAGTGTGACAGTTGTCAGCAGTAAGCACCTGTTAATCCTGTTGCTATGAATAAAACTGCTATGCATCAGAGGATAAACATCCTCCAGAAGGTAACATGTATAACCTCTCAGCATCTAGCAACACCTAGAATTTGAGTATTAAGCAAAAATTATTTGACAACGTGACTTTAACAAGCATAAAAAATGAGAATTCTTTCAGTAATGCTGTAACAAAGGAATATGTTTTTTACTCTTATTTTGTATAAATAAGTATGGTGTTTGTATTAAAAAGTAGTATTTTTATTACGCCAGGAATCTATCACAGCCAAAATGAATTTTTACTTTTTCTTACTAAGTATCTGGAGTACTCTTTTTTTTTTTGTCATTTGAAATGCATTTTAATCACTAAAAATATATTTTTTTTCCTTGCTAGATAAAACTGTTAGTTAAACAAGATGATGATCTCGATGTTCCTGCTTATGATGATATCTTCAGAGATGAAGAGGATGAAGAAGAAGACTCAGAGAATGAAAGTGATGGGTCAGAACCTTCAGAGAAACGTAGACGTTATGAAGAGGTCTGTTTCTGCTACTTTGTTGTGAAAAGAAGGAAAATAAAATTATTACATATAGTTTACATCATCATCATAATGACATTTCAGTTTAAAAAATATGTTCTATTAGATCACAAATTCATGTGTAAGATTTAAAAATAATCTACTACATCAGTAGAGTGTCACATACACATGATATTTATTTATCTGAAGTGTACAGAAATATTTTCTCCTTATTAAAAAAAAAAATCTTTTGAACTTGATTATGCATAATGCGGTCTTTGTGTAACCAGTGAACTGAAGAGATGTATCTCTAGTTATGTGCTCTGGGCTTTTCAGTCTAGCAAAACAACTTATTTAGATATTTTTTTTTTTTTTTATAATTGTTTGAGACGATAGAAGCTCACAAATAAGTTAGCAATACATTCTGTCCGTCCTTGTAGCAGTAAACTAACAAAAGTATATTACAGTAGACACAAAAAATAAAATTTGCCATATGTTATTTTTAGCATACTTTCTATTTATAACATACAAGGAAGCAAAGGCTTGAGGCTAGCAATTTTAAGAGACAATTAAATGTAAAAACATTCTTCGATTAATATATATTTCATATTATTTTTCTATTAACCTTGTAATTTTTTCCTAATAATCTATGGAGGGTGCTAATTCAGCAAAAGCAGGTATCAGAAATTCGAAGAAAAATCTAGAAATAGTATACACAAAAGCTATTCTTGAATCTGTCAGATGTTTCACAAAGGCTTGTTTGATTTCTTTGAGTTTTGAGGCTGATGATGCTATTTATGGAGCTTAAATATACGAGTGCCTCTTTCTGAGCTTCATTAATTATCTTGTCTTTATTTTTCATCAGTGTCATTTTTATGTTATAAAATTGTAGGATGGAATTTTGCTAGTGTTGAAAATACTGTGTACTGGAACTTTTTATTTGTGAAGACAAGCTAAATAAATGTTAGCACAGAAAGATGCTATGACTTTATAAAAGTATGTTCCTTGGAAAAATATTTTAAAATAATACTTTTCTCATTAGATGTTGATTGATAGGTATAATTCTTATTTTTAATGACGACTTCAATGAAATCTTTTCAGTGAAGACTTAGTCATTAAAGGATCTGGATAGGTGCTAAGCTAGAGTATTTTTTCTAGCTTTTTAACATCCAAATTAATTTACAGGATGTAATAGAGAGAACAATGAAAAGACGACAACGGCGAGAATGGGAGGCACGCAGGTGTGTTTAACTTTTTTTATGTTGCTTGTATCTCTTTTTCTTTCTCTTATTCTTTGATTAAAATCTTGTTGAGAACACAAAAACGTGATACTATGCTGCTTGATTTGCAAGATGCTTTAGTTCTCACGTTATTCAGAAAATGGAGAGAGATACTTAGTATACAAAAATAAAGCTTTTATATGGAGCATAGTTGTAAATAGTAATTTATAAATTCGAGTAGCAAGAGGTGCATTGCTTCACTTCTAAGTAGCTGTAGTATTCTTACCTTGTCCGTCTTAGGGTGAAATTTGTGCTTCTGTTTTCTTCATTTACAATCCCACTATTGTCAATAGGAACGAGCAGGAACAAATCAGATAAGAAAATGGGACTTGAGGAATAATGATTTAATAAACTTTTCCTTTTTACTTTATGAGTACATTTCAGTGTGGTTTCCACATTGCTACTAAAATCTAATTGCCTTGCAGAAAACCAATTTCTAGTCCAAGTTTAATTTTTTTAATTGCTTTAATGAAATTTAAATATTATTTCACAACTCCTACCTTTATTTGTAATTGGATCCAATGATCAGTTCACCAGTTAGTCAAATGAGGGTTTTTTTTCCTTTTTAGACGAGAGATTCTTTTTGATTATGAGCAATATGAATACCATGGGACCTCAGTAAGTATAAACTCTTGTTTGCCATAAAAACACAAGGTACCAATGTAGGGGTAATTGCACAATATATAATGCTATAAGTATCTAATACAATGTTATAATTGTCTAATAATACTATACATTATAATAATATTGTTATATCTGGTTATTTTTATATCTTGTTGTATATAAGAAATATCATATATGTACAAGTAGTTTGACTTTGCAGTTTAATGCTTTCTGGTCGTGTACATCCAATTTTACCATTGATGAATTAGATACATCATAGAAACAATACTGGTAGACTGGCAGACAACAGCCAACCGAGTCACAGTAGCTAATGTAACGTTAACAGTGGGGGGAAATGATAAACCGGAACTCCTAACATTTTTGTTGTTTGATATCTTTAATGCTGGTATAAAAAAAATTATGATAGTGGAATTTTTTTTTTGTCTTGCCAAAAGTATCTACATACAAAATATTCTCGCAAAAAGACTTTAGCATGTAGGCAGCTTGTTTGCCTTTCAAAGTTTTCGAAGTGTCAGGATATTTAAAACTTAACATTTAGGAAGTTGAACTCTTCCTTCTGTCATTTGGCCTTTTGTCTGATCGTTTTTATGTTTTGTTAAGTGCTGCTTTATGCAGATCTGCAGGTTTGCAGATCTCTATAAAATATTTTTCTTTCTACTTAGTGTCTTAGAAAGTGAGACACTGGCAGATTGTCAGACTCGAGTGAGATTTCTAGAGCTTTGGTAACATGCTAGTACTTGACAAATTTAACTGTGTTCTATTTGTTTAATGAAGTGAGAGGTTTGTGTTCATTTATCCGCTCTTTTTGCTTTTTCCCTCATATAGTCTGCCATGGTGATGTTTGATCTGGCATGGATAATGTCTAAAGACTTGAATGACATGCTGTGGTATGTTTCCATTAGCATTTTTTCATAGAGGCTCAAAGCTTAATCCCATAGTAAAGGGAGGCAAGATTTCCCAAAATTATTTGATTTCAGTATGAGGTTCCCTTTTATTTCATGAGTGGATATATGTCTGGAATTGGAGGACATATCTGTGTAAATTAATTACAAGCAACCAATATATTTTGTGTGGAAAAAGGGAGGATGGTACTATATGTGTATGTCTGCTAAAAAGGGAATAATAGTATATAGCTTTGTTATTAACTTCTATGTACAGTTGGTAAGTAGTGTTTCTGACTTGTTCTGTTACATACTGAGAGGGTTAAATATGATATACTGTACTGGAATATTTTTTGGTTTAACTTTTTTTTTTCCTTTTCTTTTTTCCTCCCAATTTTAGGTGGGCTATTGTTGGCCTAACAGATCAATGGGTCCAAGACAAAATCACTCAGTAAGAAAGATATTTTTTTTTTAAAATTTATCCTTATTGTCTTTATTTATTTATTTATCTATCTATATTTTGGTTTTTTTTTTAGGAGTAACTAATAGCAATTAGTAGAGATCAGGAAACATATGGGAATTAATAAAATACAAGAAAATTAATAAACAGTGACATTAAATATCTTAATGACTGAATGTGATCTGATGCCTTCCAAAAATGGCAATATACATCAGAAAAAAAATGTACTTTCCTTTTCTACTATTTAGAATTTTTAAACTACCTTTAATTTTCACAAAATTATAAAACAGTCACTTCTGATCCGAGAAAAAATGGTGTTTAATAGTATTTTATGTAAATATGACCTTGATACAGTTTGATTAAAGGAAAAAAAATTATGTTCTGTATCCTCCAGCTTCCTTTCCAGTTAACAAGTTTCAGACTTTCTCTTTTTTTTTTTTTTTCCCCCCTTACTTCCTACTAGATACCATCAGAATTCTAGTAGTACATCTGTAGACTTTAATTCTGGTGTTCTCTTACTAATACACTGATGTTGTTAAGGAGATAAATGTAGTAACTAATTTCATAGTTTCATAGTGTCAGTCTATCTGACTCTCTGGTTTTATTTTAGTTTTAATTGCCTGAGTGTATGGCTGAATATTGAAAGGACTTTACTTAACAAGATGGCTTGTTTGGTTTGTTTTTTTTTTAAGATGTATCTAAAGTTTTCATGCTGCTGTCTGGCCAATGTGTAATCTTTAGGAATCATTTTTGTGTTCTCATAATCAAGTACAAAAATACACAGGAAGAAAGTGAAGTAACAAATTTGGTTTTGTTTAAGAATGAAGTATGTGACTGATATTGGAATCCTACAGCGTCACGTGTCTCGCCATAACCACCGCAACGAGGATGAGGAAAATTCTCTGTCAATCGACTGCATGAGAATCGCGTTTGAATACGAGTATCCTTGCATAAGATCGGGGAAAATTAACTCTACCAACTTGTTGAACCTCAGTTGAGTTTTTATCTAGAGGAAAAAAAAAATCTCAGCACCATCTCTGCTGCTGAAAACAGAATTCAAAGAAATGGAAATTCGAATGTTTTGTTGAACATGAATCCCTCTCTCAACAGCTCATGTAGCTTCCGTTCTGCTTAACCTTTCAGAATTAGTTACAAGTCAATGTTGCTCGTTTTGTGCTACATGCACCTGCAGCTTCTAACTGTAGTACAGAGATGGAATATGTAAGGACAACTGAAGACTTACCTACCATTTGTGGAGTTTTGTTACTATTTGTAACTTCAAATGATACATGTGTCTGTAATTATTTTCCATAACTCCTGTTCAGTCTGCGCCTGGCACTTTATCAGCACTGGTCTCTATATGAAAGCCTCTGTAACACTTCATATACCTCTGCTAGCCTTAAGCTTTGGTCTGTACAAGGGCACAAGAGGCTCCAGGAGTTTTTGGCTGACATGGGGTGAGTTATAAAAATCCGAGTCTTGATTAAAGGATAATTTTTTCAATGAATTATAGAAAGATATCAATAATATAGCTTGCGAGTACTCAACTAGTTAGTTTTTAAATAAAATTGTGGGGCTCTGAGTAGGTTGCAGTCCTTTGAGTTGAGTTATGCAACTTGTGTCTTGGTGTACAAGGAATATGTCAGCTGTATGCCTTTATGGAATGGCAGATTAGTAAGTAACATGCTTTCTCACAGCTGCTCTTCGGTGACTAAAGAAAAAAGAATGCAAACAAGCTTAGTCAAACTTAACTTGCTAAATTATCTAATATTTAAAAAGCCTTATGAAAGGAAGGTACAAAATTTGTTTCTTCTGGCATACCTATCAATGTATTTTTTCCATCTGTTCTTAGTTTGCCTTTGAAGCAAGTGAAACAGAAGTTTAATTCCATGGACATATCTTTGAAAGAAAATCTTCGGGAAATGATTGAAGAATCTGCCAACAAGTTTGGGTAAATTGTTTCAAATACAAATGATTTATCTGAAAATACTTTTCAATTACATTCATTTTTTTTTGTATGAAGAAGGTGTAATATCTTGTTTTAAAAAATATGAGGTTTAGATTCGCAAAGTATTACTAGGCTTGTTGCAAATGTTAGGGTATGATTTGTCTTCATGTTCTTAACATCAACATACTGAGGAGATGGCCAGTCAATGTTGATAATGATGCTGATAATGTTAATAATCTTTACTGGTTTTATCTCGTTTTGCAGAATGAAGGATTTAAGAGTTCAGACCTTTAGCATTCACTTTGGCTTTAAGAACAAGTTCTCAGCAAGTGATATAGTTTATGCAACAGCTTCTCTCATGGAGAATATAGAGAAAGAGGGGCCTGAAACAACTAATTTTATTAAAGCTTTGGACAGTCTCTCCAGGTACTGAAAATACTTCTCTTCATTCTTTTACAATTTTATTTAGGGAACATGGGTTACATATCTAATGCTTCATAAGACATTGAAGAAAAATCAAAATATCCCTGTGAATAGTGTTTAGAGAGGTCTCACTTTTGTGTGAAAAGCTTTATTTTTATATGAAAGTGTTCGTTTTTATTTTTTCTGTTGCAGGGGTAACCTGGACAAGCTGCACCAAGGACTGGACCTAGCTAAAAAGCAGTTACGTGCCATTCAGCAGACAGTAGCCAGCTGTATTTGCACCAACCTTGTCATTTCTCAGGGGCCTTTTCTCTATTGCTCTCTAATGGAGGTCAGAATTCTAGTTTTTGGCTGTCTCGTTTGACTGTCATATTTGGCTGTCTCGTAGTTGAATAACACTGTTTTCCTAACTGCTTGACTCAGTAAGAATGACTCTGTCAGAAAGAACCTATTTATCTGCACTGTGCTGTCCTCTGATGGGTCAATATTGACACCTACTCTGAACTTCCCGAAGGAAGAATCAGTCCTCTCAAAGCAGGGAGGGCTTCATATCAAAGTCAAGTGGGTGAGATCGAACTCCTGTATTGTTATGGTTCTTGTTAGTGTTCTCTGAGCCACACAAAACTTTTAGACTTGTCAGTAGATATTGACATTAAATAAGTGGAAGAATCATCTGGGATTGTAATTCAAATAATTCTTCTTTTCCTAGGGCACACCAGATGTGAAACTGTTTTCAAAACCAGTGTCTTTGTGCCTGCTTAGTAAATACTTGCTGAAATCATTTGTTTGCTCTGTAAGTAAATCAAAAGCTTTTGACTAACTTCTGGCCTGTGTAGTAGTTATTGTTCTGTTGGATACTTGCAGTTGATTATTACAAACACATGAAAATCTTAATAATGTTTTTCTGCTAATTGGTTGGATAATTTTAGCACGTCTATGAATGCTGCTCTAGGAAAGATATCTGCCTGGGAGACTTCATAACATTAGAAAGAGTTTTCATTACTAAGATACTTACAATCTAAAATCTTTCAGGGACCATATCACTAAGTATGTACTTTGAAAAGTTAACCTGACACAAAAAAAAAAAAGCAATATTGCAGGAATGGTGATTGTTACCGAAAAATTTCTGTCTGTTTAAATAAAATCCTCTGATCTTTACAACTACCGTAACTGAAATTAAATTGCATTTATTTTTTGAGCTATTAGTTACACAATTCAGATTAGAATGAGGTTTTAAGACTGAGAACTGTCTTCACAATGAGCATTTATTAATTTGTAAATTAAATTTATTGTGGTCCATCCTTGTCAGGTTGCATCTGCGTGTCCTCATTTTGAGTTAGACATGGTGAATAACTAGTCTGCCACTAGGAGCAGGACAGCATTTTTTAAAACTCACTGCAAAACATTTACCTTAAGAACAGAACACTTGAAACAAACTTCTATTTCATTTACTTAAGTTTCTAAAAACATTAAAATATTCATAATTATTTCTGAATTGAATTAAATTACAAAATTTCTTAAACTTACAGCTTACTGCTGTAAACCAGTATGACAAGGGAGAATAATTTCTAGTGAAGACTGCATTTGTCAGAGCTTTATCTGTTGTATTTTAATGTAAAATTATTATTGCAAAAAACCAAGCCTAGTCCAAGTTTTTCGATACTCATACTGCAGTTCTTTTGTTGTATTTTTTTAAAGAGCTTTTTTCTTTACTGTAGATCGTATCGTGTCTGTCTATATAATTTCTGTTTTTAAAATGAAATGCAAAATCAGAGAACTGAAATTTCTATTGGTCCTTAAAGTGACTTTTACTGTAAAAAAAGAAGGGGATTAAGAGATTAGGTAAAGAAACCACCTTCTATTGAGCTGCATTATAGCTGTATCCTTAGATGAATGTTTGTAATACTAGCTCACATGGCAAGTTGAAACTAAATTGTTTCCTGAGTTCTGTCTAACAAAGAGGGTTTCTGACTTCCAGACAAAAAACAAGCGTTGTAAATTGCTGCCACTGATAATGGCTGCACCAATGGATGTTGAACAGGGAACTGTGATCATGGTGGGGATTCCTCCGGAGACAGAAAGCTCTGACAAAAAGAAGTAAGCATATTGTTTAGAAGTTCTTACTAAAGGTTATCTATAGACATTCCCTGTCTTTGAAGCAAATGTATCTTTCCTGTACCTATTTAACACTGAATATGTTGACTTGAATTGTATCCTTCTTAAAAGCACGTTTTTTGCATGTGGTATGCATGAGATACTTAGAGAGGATACAGATGTTCCCCAGCTTCCTTGCAAGCTTTTTTCCCCCTCCCTCTTAACTATTTCTTTATCTTAAAAGAGGGAAATAGTTCACTATATGACCCATGACTTCATTTCTTAAAGCCTGCAATGTTTAAATTTTTACACTTGAATAAGTGAGGTGTATGTTGAATACAAGGCACGTGAAAAACACCTGGAAGACATTTTCAACTCTCAGCAAGGAGTAAGTTCCATACTTCTACCTTAGTAAAAATATCCTTTTCTGTAATGCTTATATGTATTTCTGTTCATCTTCTAGCTTTTTTGGAAGAGCATTTGAGAAAGCTGCAGACAGCACCAATTCCAGGACTTTACACAACCATTTTGACATGTCAAGTGAGTAATGCTGTCACTTATTTCATTCACCGAATAGTCCTTTAGGGGTCAGTATTTACACAGCTGCCATAAAGCAGAATGACTGTAGACAATATACTCACTTGTGTATGTCTTAGATGCAAAGGTCAAGGGTGTTTATGCGATACACTATTCCTGAGCCTAGTATAAACACAAACTACGTTATTTGTTATTCTTTTTCTAAGTGCTATCTTGTGCAGAAATTATAAACTACTAAGCAGGGGCTTGCGTATCTATTTGAGATGATCCGCATTTTGCATGGAGTAATGATTTTCATATGTACACTTCAGTTTAAAATCTGTGCGGTTTTCTGTGAGGATTTTTATATTTAGCAGCCAAAGCAGGTACAGTATTGATGTTACGAGATGCATTCTTTATTGTCTGTTTGAAAAATGAGAGAGTTATGCAACAAGATTTGCCTATCTTTGTATGCTCTTACAAAAGAGGCAGTTTGTAACAATACATAGTTATGCATGTGTGTTGAACATACAAAGAAATACTCATAGATTTTAAAAGTGCAGCTATATCATGTAGTGAGCACCTAGAAATCGGAGTTTGCTGAATTCTAAGAGCAAAATAAACAATGTGCTTTGCGTTTTGTCAAAATAGATAGTTTCTCTTTTTCCTCCTTAAAGTTGATTGAGAATATAAATAAGTATACTTGGAATTAATATTCTTCAAGTGTGACATCTGGTATAGCTTTCAGTTATTTGCATCTTGTAATAAAATATTTAATATTTTAGTAATTGAATTGAAAACAGAAGATCGGAGCAAATTTCTGGATGCACTCATTTCTCTCTTGTCCTAAAGGTAAGACAGTGTAAGGAGGATTAATTCAAAAATTAATTACATATAAAGTTAGTAACCAAATTACATTCATATATTATCTGTAGAATGTTCTGAGAAAAATGCGACAACTTCTAGTTGAAAATACAAATTGAAGATAAGAGTTCCTTACAAAGACAATTGTTTTTCCTTTTGGGAGGAGGCAGACAATGTACAAGCAGAATATATTTTTTTTTTCTCTCCTTAAGACATTTATTTAAGTTTCATCATCCATAGGCTCCTCTTAAGTTGTTCTTAACTTTTTGTGGCTTTTTAACTTAAGCTGGAAAAGGAGCAGCTGTTCGCATTGCAACAGAAATAGAGATGACAGTTAATTGTAGTTGGTAGTCTGTTACTGACTTTTTCTTTCAAGTATGATGACTTGTTTGAGCTCAGGATGGAATCTTGGCCACAGCAGTGTCATTCTTGGCTTTGACATTAATGTAGAATTTGCATTTTTCTTTCACAGTGTTAAGGTTGTAGCCTATGTTAGTGTGTAGTTTTTACCTGGAATAAAGATGGGGATAAGACTTCATTTGCAGTTGTGACTGTTAGCTTCACACTAGTCCAAAGTCTGCTTTAAAGCTTACTTAGGGCAAGACGGATTTTACTGTAGATCTGGTCTATAGATCAACGGTCTGTTGCAACAGTCTTCAAATATTCACTGCTTTTCAATGATGAACTATTTTTATTGGCTTGTGTGTACATTTATTCTGCAGCGATAGGTGGGGATAGCTTGCCTTCTCCCAGAGAAGCAGCCAAACTCTAAACTGTTTTGTAAAATCTGTTCAGACAGTTTGAAAGTCTGTAAGTACCTCATGGTTTTTTTCATGCCTAGGTAAAGATTCGGTCCCTAGTATTAACATGTGAAGTAATCTCACAAGATCATTTCACAGTGTATATGTATACGAAAGCAAAGCAGTAAGTTGAAGAATTTAACGACAGCCTGTGAATGTCAATAGTCCTAGCCAAATGACAATATGACTTACCTTTTTTCAGTGGGTATCAAAGCTACAATTTTTTTTTTCTTCTGTTCACTCAGAAGTTTGAAAAAGTGGGTCAATAGCTGCAATTGTTGTTCGTTAGACAGCGTAGTTACGCACGGCTTCCAAGATTTCTACATCTGTCTGTTTCTTTTTATACACTCTGACTACAGATCGTTTCAGTTTGTCTTCTGTGCTTGTTACGCAGTGGTGCTTTTTGGATGCTTGTGCTCGAAGCTGAGGATCAGATGCTCTGAAATTATTTTGGATGTTCCAAAGTCCATGGTGCTGCAGTTGTGATGTTTCATCTTGCTTTATCTTAAATGTACTGGTACAGGCCTGGACTGTTGTTTTTATGCCTCTTCGGAGGTCGAAAGGTTTTTAATCTTAGCACACAGATACTGAATACTGCTTCTTTCTGAAGATCCCATACTCATAATGGCAAAAGGTGTCAACTAGGAATATTTGCAAATTGGACTTCTGTTTCTCAAACCTGCTTTTATTAGTAGACATGCTCCCGTGATGTTTAGTTGTTGGCTGATAACTACAAAATAGATTTTGAAGAAGTTGCATATTTATATTACCATTCAAATGTTCTTTTAAAATTGTCTTGAATGCTTCTTGTTTGTTTGGGGGGGGGGGGGGTTTTAAGAAATTTTTGAAACTCTCCTTGAATTTCTAGAATGCTGAAACTGTTTTTTAGTAGTATCAGGTTGAGATCTTGTGCTTTAATTGAAATAACTGTTCTGTGATACAAGTTTTAAGATTTTAGGGCTTTTAAAATCCAAGTACGGAGTAACTGCCAAATACTGAATTGAAAATCTGGGGAATTCTGGTGGTGATAAAGCCTTTTTAGCCATGAATTGTGATACTTGGTTTGGGGAACAACTTTTCTGGGAAGAGTCTAATGTACTATGGTAACTGTGTGTAGACTGTAATGTTATAAATATTGACAGACTAGCTCAATCCTTTTCCATAACAGAGATTTCGTCTCACTTTGGTCAGATGAAATGGTATTGCTTGTTAGACTTACCCTGCTGTGCATTGGGTGGGTATGTATATGTGTATCTTTGGGATTCTTTTTCTTCTTGCAATGTTTTCTTGAATTCTGTGTGACTTTAAAGTTTTCATGTATTATAATTAATATGTAAAGGTTATGTATCATTACATCATACTTTGTACAGATTTTTAATACAGGTTAATTTAATATTAAATGTGATTTAAATGTAGCAAACAGAAAGCTAATTAAACTATATATTTTTATTCAAACAAAAGTTTGGGTTTGGTTTGGGTTTTTTTTTCCCCCAATATTTTAATCTTATCTGAGTAAAATTCCTGTGCCAAGCTGCAGAGGCCAGAAAGTTGTGCTTTGTAAGATAAAACGTAATGCCACCTTTTGGTTTTGCATGTTAACTAGGTAGTATTGGCAATAAATAATATCTCCCCCTTACCAGCATACTTTGAGTTTGGCCTATACACAACATACAGTAATTTTATTAAATTTCTGAAGTAGATTAGTGTGCTTTAAGTCTGGAAATGGAAACATGCAAGCTTATGTTGGTTTTTTTGAATGCTGGTACCAGTGACAAGCCATGATTACAATGCTAGGAGTCTATGTGAAACTTAAGTGCACTTCTAAATATTTTCACCTTATTTTTCAGTTGCAAGCTGCTGAGTCAAGTGAATTTCCTAAATTTATCTTAAACTCATCTGTTACAAAAGATTCAGTGCCATTTCCACAGCACTAAATGACTGTAACTTTAGTTCAGTCTTATCATATATTTAGGGCTTTTGTGCTTCTAGATGTAACTAACAGAGAAAAACATGGGTATGTGTAGCAGTAAATACAATGTGCTTTCAGTGTGTGAGACCACCTTCATTGTATATGGAATGAATAATACTGGGTAAAATTGAATTTTTACTTGCACAGTCTGCTTGCTCAGTAAATGCATAAAAGGTCTTGCACATCCCAGATCTCTGACTCATGAGTCAGTGGCCATCTGTCAGAAAATCCTAAACAAACAACTAAATTCCCCATTTTCTCCTTGTACAAAACCTTTAGACGGGAAAAAAAATGTTGTGAGGACGGCATCACAAAGCATCGGCATGTAACATCTCAGTTTAATTACTATATTTGTCTTTAGTTACACTTAGTGCTGTTTTCAATGCATTGAATAGTTTTGATGGGTACCTTAGCAAACTATTCCCTTTATTTTCTTGTTTGGGGTTTTGGTTTTCTTTTCTCCACCCTCTCATTAGAAGCTCTGTGTGAACCCCTTCATCTTACCTCATCAACTCTCTTACTGCTGTTGTATCCCTTGTCCCTCTCCTGGAACTTTATATATTTACTCCATTCCCTTTTCAGGGTATGTTTGGATTCTACTGCTACTGCTTTTTCCTGCTGTTGTGATAAATACAGATCTTGCCTTGCAATGAAGAAGGAAGTTGGGGGGGAGTGTTTGTGTGTTTATTTTAGTAGGTGACTGTCATGTCTTGAAAAATGGACAAATTTTCAGGCACGTGTACCCTTTAGAATCATAGAATCACTTTGGTTGGAAAAGACCTTTGAGATCATAGAGTCCAACCTTTAACCTAACCCTGACATCCCACCACTAAACCATGTCCCTAAGTACCTCATCTATCCTTCTTTTAAATACGCCCAGGGAGGTGGTAGTGTCCCCATCCCTGGAGGGATGGGGACTCTACCACCTCCCTGGGCAGCCCATTCCAGAGCCTGACAACCCTTTCGGTGAAGAAGTTTTTCCTAATGTCTAGCTTAAACCTGCCCTGGCGCAGCTTCAAACCATTCCCCCTCGTCCTATCATCTGTTACCAGGGAGAAGAGGCCGACCCCCACCTCACTACAGCCTCCTTTCAGGCAGTTGTAGAGGGCGATCAGGTCTCCCCTCAGCTTCCTCTTCTCCAGACTAAACAACCCCAGTTCCCTCAGCTGCTCCTCGTATGACTTGTGTTCCAGACCCCTCACCAGCTTGGTTGCTCTCCTATGGACATGCTCCAGCAATGCAACATCTTTCTTGTAGTGAGGGACCCAAAACTGAACACAGTGTTCGAGGAATAGCTCCATTGTACTGAGTTGTGGAGAATGGAAGCTAGTTTTTATGCTGGCATGGTAATTGCTTTACTGGCAGGTTCTTTGCCCTCCAAACGGATGTGTAAGCTTGAAGCTGTGGATCTACTAGATGGAGAATAACCTTCCCTTGTCCCTCCTCTATTGGTTTTTGGTGTTTTTTAAGGTTCTAGTTTTCCCGAGATCTACTAGACGTGCCAAGAATGCTTTTGCAAGTCGTAGAATTGATCAGCTGTTGAACTGATGCCAGGGCCATCCAAATGTGGCCCCAAATCAGTCAGGAATGCTGAATACTGTGTCAAAAGAAAGTTATTAAATCTGTGTGGAAACCTGAAGAAGTCTCTACCAGTAGCTAAAACTTTTGCATGTCAACATTTTACAATATGTAAAATAATATCAGATGCTCCTTACATAGTTTATTCTATGCTATCAAGTTTGTAGATGAATATGTTAATATTACTTGGAGAATCATCATACAGGAAGATCCAAAACTTTGGAGTCCCCAGTGTGTAGATATAAAAGTATCTCAGTTCAGCAGCAGTAAATTGGTGGTTTGAATGGCTCATTGAAACTCTGTTGTGTAGGTTAGTTAAAATGGTCGCATCTTACAGTTAAGTGTTGGATGGAGACTCTGTGCCAAGAACTCTTGACATCTCTTCTTGAAGAGATTATTACGCTTTTGATTTATTTGCCCAAACAGAAAACATGGCTCTAATGAGTCATTTTAAAATAAATAGCTAGAGCACTAAGAAATCGGCTTACCCTCTTAGATGTATGGTGACATTCCACCTAGCCATGTCTGAATACAAATAGAAACATTCCCTAAGGATTATATTTGAGCTGCAGTAACTCTTTTTCCTCCACTGTGTTTGCTTGCTGTAATGGTACCGTCATAAATCAGCTCTTTAAATTA